ATATTCCCCCCTTCATGTATATAAACTATGGGGTTTTACTCTCCCTACAGTTAGTGGAGAAATGGGCTTGGCCATATGGCTTATTTTAGCCAATGGGGCTACAGAAAATGGGACATGTTTAAAGCATACTTAAAACCCTACAAGGAACCCTGGTGGCGCAGTGGTTATGTGTTGGGCTACTAACCATAAGGTCAGAAGTTTGAAATCACCAGCCGCTCCACTGAACAATGACAGGGCTTTCTACTTCCATAAAGAGTTACAGTTTCAGAAACCCAGAGGGGCATACCCTGTCCTATAGGGTCACTATGAGTCAAGGGCAGTGAGCTTGGTTTGGGTCTTACATCCCTAGAAGTGCAAAGTGAAGAAGCCCAGGAAAACCTGCTGGATGATCAGAGACAGAAGGCCTTGTTGCCCTGACCAGTAAAATGCCAGTGGACAGAATTTTGAGTCTGTTCTAGGTCACGCAGCCACCAACCACATATTTCGTTGACCTCAAACACATGAGCAGCCTAACAGAGATCAGCTGAGCCTCCCCAAACCAAATGAGCTACCCAGATAACCCACAGTATCTTAAGTTAACTAAATTGTTACTACTTTAGGCCACTAAATTTTACAGTGCTTTGAAGCCCTGGTGGCTGGTAGAACTACAAGCCACTCTGAGGAGGAGAGATGAGGCTTTCTACTCCCATAAAGAGTTACAGTCTTGGAAACCCACATGGACAGTTTTACTCTGTCCTATAGAATCACTGTGAGCCAGAATCAACTCAATGGCAGTGAGATTCGGTTTTGTTTTGTTTTTACAGAGCAAAAGTAAATGAATACAAGTTGTTGTTGTTGTTGTAAATTGCTATTGTTATCAGTCCCAACTCTTGTCAACCCCTTATGTGCCTCTAGATGATTTAAAACTGCCAACCTTTTAGTTTATAGTAAAGCGCCTAACTGATGCACCAACCAGAATGGTAGTACTTCCATGAAAACAAGCACAAGCCAACAATATAGTATCACTTTAAACGTGTTTACTGTCTTTTAAATGGTCTCCCATGGAGAAGAGTTAGACAATGGGAAAGGGTCAGTATGCCAAATTAGCAAATAGGAAAAAACACACAATCGATTAAATATTACTATTGGGGAAAGCAAAAGCAGAATTATATTTGCCTAAAGTACATCCCAAGAGATAGCTATTGAATTGAAATAAAATAAACAGACCATGCACATAAAAAAGAAATCAGATTTTGATACATTATTAAAAAGAGCACATGGCTTGTAAAGTTGGCCCTTCATATGCATGGGTTCCACATCCACAGATATAAACAACCAAGGACAAAAATTAGTGGGGGGGGTGAGAGGAGGAGCAAGTGGTCAAAGCAATCCTTTAAAGGCTAAGAGAGTGTATAGGGTGCTATTTACATGGCATTTATATGGTATTGGGCATTGTGACTAACCTAGAGATGATTTAAGATATATGGGAGAATGTGCATAGATTTTATGCAAATCCAGCACCATGTGCTATATAAAGGACCAGAAAATCCATGGATTTGGGGATCTATGGGGTCCTGGAACCAGTCACTCATGGATACCTAGAGACAACTATATCTGGTGGAAAATAATTCTTTTTTTCTATGTAATAGAACTAGCATGAGACAAAGTGGTGAGCTTCCTGGCCAATACAGGAAGAAAGCCGAATGCCTTTTAGCAAGGAGCCTTGCTGGCAGAGTGGGTTCCTCTGAGCACTTATTGGCAAAGCTAAATAAGCTTTGTAACTGGCGCAAGGAGGGTGAGCAGCAGGCCAAAGAGATAAGGGCTAAAGAGAGGCATGCCTGATGTCCAAAGGACTGTATCTTGAGCATTTCTGGTCCTGAATCTGTTATTTCCATAATAAACCCCACAATTGTGAGTATTGTCTATGAGTTTGTGGCCATCCAACAAATTACTGAACCTAGGAGAGAAGTGTCAAGGGTGAGATTTTTGGTGTCCAAAATGTTTAAAAAATAAGGTTGGCGGATGGGGGCATCTCTGACCAGTTAAAGCACGCTTTGGACGCAGGCTGATGATAGAGATTCTCCTCCTTTGTGTTTGCGCAGTTAGGGGAAGTCAGCACTACTCTCACCACCTGCCTCTTCCCCCACTTGCCATTACTGCACCTTATAACATGGATAACCCTAGAAGGCTTAATGCTGAGTGAAATAAGTCCATCACAAAAGCACAAATACTTTATGAGACCACAATAAGTCTAGAAAAGGTTTGCACATATGGTAAAAAATATTCTTTGATCATTACCAAGGATGAGAAGGGAAGAAAAAAAACTAACTAGAGGGCTGACATGTATTTACTTGGGTGAAAGGAAGTAAGCACAATATGACACAGGGGAAAAAGACCCGGGCAGAAGCATGTGATTTAAAGGTAAATACTGTTACACACACCACCCTGCAATCACAGTAAAAGCAATCAATAATCTGTAAGTGGATACACAAGTAGACAGGCAAAACCAACAAGTATGCCCCCTTGAATATGCTAGTATAGGTTTGGAAAAGGATGTGTCTACATATATACTTACATGTACTGCAAATATATCCATGTATATAGTACAACATACAAGGAGCCAAAGCTATGAAACCTTCTTAGCCTTAACCCAACACCTGGAAGGGCTGAGTCACTGGACATAAGGACTTAGGACCATAGTCTCAGGAAACTTAAAAGTCCATTGGCATAAATAGTCCACAACAATGTTCTACATCCTACTTTGATGTAGCTTGCAAGCAGCCATCAAAATGAAAAACCCAAGAAAACAAATAGTCTAAAAGACTAATGGACTACATGAACCCCACAACCAGCCTGCACTAGGACCTTAATAACCAGAAAGTGCCTGGCTACCACTATCAATTGCTTTAATCAAGTTCATAGCAGAAAATCCTGGGCAGAGTTGGGGACGGAGGTGAGTTTAGAACAAAATTCAAAATCATAAAAAAAAAAGCCAAACTTCCTGGTTTGATGGAGACTGGAGGGACCCCAGAAACTATGGTCCATAGATGTCCTTTAAACCTGGCACTAACTCCACACGCAGGGATCACTGTTCAGCCTAACAATGGACAGGCCAATAACGTGAACAATAACACCCACAAGGAACGTGCTCCTTAGAACAATCAACCACACAAGATCAAAAGGGCAGCATTTGCTCAAAATCAAAGATCAGAACGCAGGAAGGAGTGGGGTCGGGGGAGCACAAATGAAATCTAGGGAACAAAAGAAACTCACAAATTCATGGCTAGGGACAGATCAAGACATCACAGTTACAGGTGGGATTAGGAACATGATAGAGACACATACATTATTTTAGCTAGAAGAGCTTACAAGATTGGTCCAGGGCCTTCCAACCAGGCAGTAAGAAAACAACTTATAGGGTATGACTTGTGACTAAGAGAGCCCTAGCACTGTCCATCAATGACACAACCAGGTATGCCCTGGAGGGATGGAGGGAACCCACTTTCCAATACACTGCCTGAGGGTAAGATTCTTCTCATCCCTAGTTAATGGTCAGAAGGGATTCAATAGACATTTAATCCACATTGGGTGGGGTCATCTACAAATGGATTTTGGGTTTTCACTGTCATTTACATACTTTCACAAAAAGGATACTCAGAATTTAAGCTCAGAATTTACATAATTGTTTTTGTGGCCTTACAATGTGCATAAGTGAGGAGCCTGGTGGTGTAGTGGCTACACATTGGACTGCTAGCCACAAGGACAGCAGTTTGAAAACAACAGCTGATCCATGGAAGAAAGATTTGGCTTTCACCCCTGTGCAGAGCTACAGTCTCAGAAACTCACAGGGGCAGTTCTACCCCGTCCTAAAAGGTCACTATGAGCAGGCATCAATTTGATGGCAGCGAGTTTAGTTGCTTTTGAAATGTACATAAGTAGAATACATATAATAATTATAGTATAAGTTTAAAGAATGTGAACCTATACAGTCATGGTTCTATAGTTTATGTGAAACAATTGACTATGAACTGAATATAAACTAAGAAAAGTTACGTATGTTCTTAAACAAAATCACAAATCTTTTGTCTCAAGTTCAATTTCAACTCATAGCAACCCTATAGAACAAAGCAGAACTGCCCCATATGGTTTCCAAGGCTTTAAATCTTTATGTAAGAAAACTAGTTTGGCAGCTTTGAATAATGGTTTTATGGGGCATGCAAGTTAATTGGTTGAATAACGTGTTCTATAATAAACTGGTAGCTAAAAAGCAGGTAAACCCAAATCCAAAATCCACTGCCATCAAGTTGACTCCAACTCACAATGAACCTATACAGGGTTTCCCAGCTGTAAATACTGATGGAAGTAGATAACTTCTTCTTTGCCTCAAGGAGTAGCTGGTGGGTTTGAACTGCTGACCTTGCAGTTATCAGCCCAATGCCTAACGCATTGTGCCACCTGCAAAAAAAGCAGGTATGTTCACTGAAAATAAAGTATATACAAAACAAAGATAACAACACAAGCCTTTAACTCTTTAAGGAAATATAGATGATTACAATGATATATTAGGGGAAAGTTTCCCTGATTAAACACCATTCTGAAAATAAGCAGTTATTGACAAGAAACAAATGTTAATTATTTTAAATTGAAGGAAATAAACATGATCATCATGTCCTATCTAAAACTCCTGAGAAATAAATAAGCTCTAAAACCTATATAAGTAACTAGAATGAATTCTATTAAAAAGCTGAGGAAAAAGGAAACAAAAATAAAATCTCAAATGTATAGAAAGAAAATTGAACTTGCATGTAGAAAGCACACTTCTAGAGCATGAAAAAGAAATTCATTCACTCATGCTCCCTCAATATAGCCACGACACATACACTTACGTCCACATCATTGAGCTGTTAATAGCAACTTCACTGAATCAACAAAAATGTTACATGAAAATAAGAAATCAGCACAGAAGAGTCTTTAAAAGTAAAGTGCAATTTCTACCTTTGGCCATTTGGGATTGAGAAGTCGGGCTTTGATGGCATCGTCCAGTGCCTTGTCATACTGCTGAATTTTCACGTAGGCTGCAGACCTATTGCTATATAAGATGCAGTTCTGAGGGTCAGCAGCCAGTGCTTCATTATACAGAACAATCGCTGTGTGGAAGTCGCCGTCATGACAGGCCTGGTTACTCTGACGAACTTTTTCAACAAACTCAGCTTTACTCAGCACTGGTTCATCTGGACTTCTTCGGCCGATAGTCTTAGCACCAAAGAATGGGATCTACAAACAAAGAAACTCTGTCAGACATATTCCAGAAAATCCAGAAAAGTTCCTTGTCTGAACCTCAAGAGAACTTGGTCATTCTTCATAGTCTGGTTTACACTATAGTGAATTTTTGTGCCTTGAAAATCAATAAGCATTCCATGAAGCAACAAATATGGCTCTTTAAATACAAGGGGGTTTCAAGAGGCTCATGGAAAAATTCCACGATCTCTTCAGTTAATTTCTCCCAGGAAATTTGAAGCCTTCTCATATAGATGAATGTATATGTGTGTGTGCATTGACTGGCTGAAATAATCAATAAATGCCAAAGACTAATCACACTTTTCCTTGAACAAGGCAAGAAGCATGTAAAGAATGTGGAAGGAACATACAGAGTGACTATACTAAAAAGAATTGGTTAATGCTCAAACATTTCAGGAGGTAACATATGATCAAGAACTAATAGTGATATGAGAAGAAATCCAAGCTGCACTGGAAGAACTGGTAAAAAAAACAGATTCCAGGAATTCACAGAATACCAATTGACATATCTCAACAAGCATTGATAATCATTCTCTGGTGATGCTCACTCAACTAGATCAAGCAATGTTAAAGAAAGCTGTGTGGCCAACCTATTGAAAGAGATCCAAAGTTGATCCAACAGAAGGCAATAAATAAAGGCAATCAAATAAAGATGATACAACAGAATATATGGAAATGCAGCAATATATCAACAGGAAACTCAGGTGAATTTGGTTGAAAGCAGAGAATACCAGAAATGTTTGCCTGTGCTTTATTAATACCTGTCTATTCAATTGTGTGAATCGCAACAAATTAGGGATAGCATTGTAATGCTAAAGGTATCCTTTCAGAGTGAAATAAAAGAGCACTACACAGAACCCTGGTGGCATAATGGTTAGGCATTGAGGTGCTAACTTCAAGGTCAGTGGTTCAAAAGCGCCAGTCACTCCGAGGGAGAAAGGGCTTTCTACTCCCATAAAGAGTTACAGTCTTGGAAACCCACAGCAGAAGTTCTGCCCTGCTCTATGGGGTCAATATTAGTCAGCATCAACTCAATGGCAGTGAGTTTTGGAAACAGTAGCTCAAAGGCATACAAAGACTAAGAAATCCCCACCAAAGTAACTTCAAAGGCCAGTTTTTACGATATTTTTGTTTTATAACTCTTGTAGAATTATCAAACAGTATCATTGATATCACATGCAAGTAAAATTTTGCTGAAGATAACTCCGAAACAGTGGCAGCAATCCATGAAAAGGGAGCTGCCAGAAATTCAAGCTGGATTCAGAAGAGGATATGGCACAAGGGATATCATTGCTGACTTCAGAAAGATCTTAGTTAAAAGCAGAGAATACCAGAAAGATGCTTGTGTTTTATTGCATGTGCAAAGGCATTCGACTGTGTGGATCATAACAAACTATAGATTACCCTGAGAAAAATAAGAATTCCAGAACACTTCATTGGGTACACGAAGCAAGAGGGAGTCATTCTAAAGAATATGGAAATACTGCGCGGTTTAAATTCAGGGTAGGTGTGCAACAGGGTTATATCTTTTCACCCTGCTTATTCAATCTATATGCTGAGCAAAATCTGAGAAGTTGAGCTACATGGAAAAGAACAAGGCATCTGGTTCGGAGGAAGGTTCATGAACAATCTTCAATATGCAGATGGCACAACCATACTTATTGAAAGCAAGGAAGAGTTGGAGCACTTGCCAATGAAGAAAAAAAAATGACAGTCTTCAGTATGGATTACACTCAATGTAAACAAAACCAAAATCCTCACAACTGTATTAATAGATCACATCATGATAAACAGGGGAAAGGTTGATGTCATCGGATTGGCCGGATTCACAATTAATGCTCATGGAAGTAGCAGTCAAGAAATCATGAATTAAAAAAAAAATCAAGAAATGCATTGCATTGGCCAAATGTGCTGCACAAGATCTCTTTATAGTGTTGAAGAACAACAATGTCATGTGAAGACTCAGGTGTGCCTGACCTAGTATTTTCAATTGCCTCTTATGCATGTGAAAATTGAACATTGAACACAGAAGACCAAAGAAGAATCAGTGCACTTGAATTGTGCTGCTGGAGAAGAATATTGACAGTTACCAGGAAAGACCACTCCTTGCAAAAGGACATCAAGCTTGTTTAAGTAGAGGCTCAGTGACAAACAGGAAGACCCTCAGGAATGACTGATAGAACGGCTGCAACAATGGACTCTAGCATGACAATTGTCAGGATGGCACAGGACCGGGCAGTGTTTCGTTCTGATATACAGGGGATCACGATCATTTAGAACCAACTCAGTGGCATCTAACAACAACTCTTTATGTTACAGCTTACATGATTTTAAATTATGATCTCATAAGAAAATAATTTTAAATTTTAGTTATTTCAAAAACAAGAGATAAGATGCACTCTGTGTTACCAGCAACATGGGGGTAGTAGTATAGATATAGATTTTTGGTATGTGTCATAGAAGTTAAGATGGTATCATTATATGAAAAAAAACTTTCTCAAACCTAATCAAAGAATAAGATCTTTTTTAAGGGAAAAAGGATTTAAACAGATCTTACCATGTGACAGTAAGCATATAAAAAGATGCTCAATATCATCAGTCATCTGGTAGATACACATTAAAATCACAATGAGACAACACGACATAAGCTCTAAAATGACTAAAATTAAAAGGACAATTCCTAGTGTCACCAAGAATGTGGAACAAAGGGAACTTACAAATATGCCAATATGGTATAAAATTTTAAAAAGATAAATATGCATGTACAATATGATTTTTAAAGGCTACTTGTAGGCATTTACCTGAGAAATGAAAATATGTACACATGAAAATGTGTAAATTATTACAGTCCCAAAAAGAGAAAGAGCCTGATAAACAAATTGTGGTACGTACATACAGTGGAATACTATTAAACCAGAAATAAAAAACTACTTACACAAGAGGGCTTCAAAATTCCAGGAAAAAATGGAATTAACAGATAATAGAATTTTTCCATGGATTCTTTGAAATCCCCTCACATATGCCACACCTGGATGAATGTCATTACACTAGTCAAAGGCATTATGTTCAATGAAAGAAGTTAGATTCAAAAACTACATATTGTATGATTGCATTTATATAAAATTATAGAAAATGCAAAATAATAGGACAATAAGCACAGAAAATAGTTGGTGGGGAGTATGTTGGGGGAACTTACTGTACAAGGGGCAGAAAAAACTTTTCAGGGTGATGGAAAAGTTCCCTGTTATGACTGTGGCAGTGATTACATAACTTTTTTAAATTAATAAATTTAAGTACATTTTAGTCTGTAAATTGTATTTCAATTAAGGAAAATAAAGCAAAGTGGTAGCCATAACTGTATCATTCCAACAATTAAAATACAGTAAGTCTCCAGGTTATGAACTTCTGATTTTGGACAACTTCTACTTGCCCTTTAATGTTATGTAACTTTTCCTTCAGTTTGAAACACTGAATCAACCCTCACAACAAATTCTTTATCACAATCACTTGCTACATGTGCTTTTAAATCACTTGGGAAAGCTCCATGGGTTTTCCTGCACTTAAAAAAAGAAACAAACAAAAGTTCCATAAAGTTGATTCCAACTCATAGTGACCCTGTAGGACAGAGTAGAACTGTCCCCTAGAGTTTCCAAGGAGCCCTGGTGGCACAGTGGTTATGCATTGGGCTGCTAACTGCAGGGTCAGCTGTTCTAAACCACCAGTTCCTCCAAGGGAGAAGGACAGGCTTTCTACTCTGGTAAAGAGTTACAGTCTCTGAAAGCCACGGGGGCAGTTCTACCCTGCCCTCTATAGTCACTATCAGAATCGAATCAATGGTAGTGAGTTGGGTTGGGTTTGGAGTGTTCCCCTGAGATATAAATGAAGTTTCAAGAGGGAGAAAATAGAATCAGTCAAAGATTTCAGTACCCTATGGTTACATGGCCCCACTGTGACCATATACACAAGAACAACCCTGGAGCCAAGGAAATCATCTTGAAAGAAAATGCTTTGAGATGGATAGCTAGATAGATGGGTTGTTTTCAACTACCATCAAGATGAAAACACAAAAAACTCTCATAGAGAATCCATCTCAAGAACTCACACTGAGAAAAATGGAAAGATGGTTGAATATGAATTTCTTTTTAGTTTCAGATTTTAGATTTTGCTCAAAAAACTCTTTTTCAAAAATATTTACTGGTGATCTGCTCTGTGCTAACCTCTCTGTTAGGCATTGAGGATATGGTCTGTCTGCACACAGAAAATGGCAGAAGATATCACTTGCGAAATTGATGGATGATAGTTGATTCCAGGAGGAATCTTTCAGATCAGAGAATGACTTATCAAAAGAACATGAAGAAGTTAGTCATGCAGGGAGATAAGGGTTTGAATATTTAAAGAAAATGAAATAGAGGGCATAGGACTGTGAGAAACAGGATTTCTCCCAAGTTGTCTCCTCCAAATAGATGTCAAACTTAGCTGCTTGCAATGGACTATACACTTGGAGGTCATCAGAAGTAGATCAGAGATTATTCTCCCTAAGGATTATCAGCCATCTAGAGCAAGCAGACACCACTGTTTATCCCACAACAAATAGGGCCCACTCCCTTCTGATAAGGATAATAGTTGTCTGTTTCCTTGTAGGAGACCCCGCCCAAGGATGACCAAGGTTAGGCTGCCATCATGAATCTAGTATACCCCTAGACCTTCCCATTCCTATGGGCACACCCCTAGCTCATCCCCTTCCTGGCACGCTTAAGCCTATCGTACATCCCCTTCCTACAATGTGTATGCCTATTGTACTGTTCCTTCCTGTGATGTGTGGTTACCTGTAATCATGCCCCCCTAATGAGATATAACCCTGGGTTAGCAATAAGTTGGGGCTCTCCTGCTCTTGCTCCGGAGACTCTCTCCTGCTCTTGCGGCTGGGTTCCCCCGACGAGAACCACCAAGTGGGGCTGAGGTGAGCATGCTACCATGAATTGTGTCTGACTCCATTATTCCAATCTCTCTACCTCTCATGCTCTCTGTGACTTTACTATAATCTTTACTTATTATCGCTGTACAATTGCACCTACTGGACCTGTGGTGATTTGTGGGGGACCTCTCCTCGTCCCACATAGGGCTAGGTATGTTTAAAGAAAAAAAACTCAAACTCACTGTCATTGAGTCAATGCTGACTCATACTGACCCTGTAGAACAGTGGTTCTCAACCTTCCTAAAGCCGCAACCCTTTAATACAGTTTCTCATGTTGTGGTTGTTTGGACTAAGCTGAAGCAGATCAGGGCCCTGCACAAAGGTCAGCAGCAGACAGCGCCAGATAAAATAACCAGTGAAACCAGATATTCCAGGTTTGAAGTAAGCCACAAAGAGTCCATTAGCAATTCTCAAGTTTCCAGATCCCATATGGTAATTGCCATAATTGCCATACATTCCTCACCACCCCTTTAAAAACCTGCTCCCCCAGCTGCTGAGCAGGACTCCCCTGTCCTGTTGGCCCACGTCAGGGAAGCTCATTGGGAGCTCCCCCTAATAAAGCTATTTCTGTTTCTGCCCTCCCTTGTCCTGTCAGTTATGTCTGTCTGTCTCGCTCAGATTCACCTTAACGTGGTGACCCCCAAACCATAAAATTATTTTCACTGCTACTTCATAACTAGTTTTGCTACTGTTATGAATCGAGCGACCCCTGTGAAAGGGTCGTTCAACCCCCAAGGGGTTGAGACCCACAGGTTGAGAACTGCTGCTGCTGCTATGGAACAAGCTAGAACGGCTTTTGTGGGTTTCTACGACTATAACTCTTTATGAGAGTAGAAAGCTATTTCAAACTGATAACTTTCCAGTTAGTAGCCCAACACACAACCTCTATGCTAC